TTTAAAAATTTTTTTTTTTTTTTTTTTTTTTTTTTTTTTTTTTTTGGTTTACATTGACCTTATATCTTTCATTCTTAATTTAGAAAAAAGAAAATTAGCAATCATCAATCATTCACTTATACTTCTAAACAATACAGTAATTGGAAAATTGAAGTCACGATTTTAATAAATAATCGATCAACTTATGTTACTATATTATCTAAATCATGTAATAGATTGCATTCAAAAATTTTGGCATATGAGTAAATGCACATATATGTGACCTCGTATCGTTATCTACATTCATGAGGTAAAGTAAGTGACTTGTATGTAAACAAAGTAATTGTGTAAATCATATGCAAATTTCTATGACTAACATTGATTACGTTGTGACTATAAAAAAGAGTTGGTGACCTATTTTATTTTATTAAATAGTTTGTATTCAGAATATTTGCCCTTCATTAACAAAAAATTGAAACGGTATTTATATGCTCATTATTTGGATGGATTCTATGTAATTGGATATTATTGTAGATTATAAGAGGTATACATACGTGGCTTGATTTTCACGTATGTGATCCTGAATTGAAATATGTAACATTTATCTATACAACATAATGGAATGTTTTGTACAGAAGGTCTGTGACTATTAGTGTTCATGTTTCGTAATTTAGTATGAACATATGACCTACATGTAATCAATACGTGATCATGATTGAGAAACTATGACATGCGTTTGTTGTGACCTAGAATTGGATTTGTATTGATATATGGTTGATTTTGCAAAAATGGGATACATTCACGCTTGTTTATTGAATGGCTCACAACTATCGTTGGTGTTGATCAATCGTAATTGTGGGTATATGAAGCTTGTTGATACGGTTATGACAGAGTTTGGTTTAGATCCCGCTAATGTGGCAGTCACAATTAATTATATATTTAATGTTAGTTTGCATCCAATCATAATCAAGAGTGACAATATATGTTGTCATGCATGGTGCTGAAGGATATGAATGTGACCATTCCAAATATCCGATACACATTGAGGTCATAGCTGCAGATAGCCAAAAATATTCTATCACGGTATCGATTGGTGTGCAATCTAATGAATAGGAATTTTCATAACTAGATATGTCATCAAATATATGTGAAACAATAGTAGAACTGT